ATACTAAACAAATATATGACTAAATTTGCTTAAGCTGCAATTTGTAAGTACTGTATTTATGCATGATTCAAGACTCATTGACCTGAAAAGCGTACAACCAGTCATGGCCCATCACTACTCTAGCAGCTGTAGGGAAGTACTGGCTAATTTATGTTTACATCATTCCACAATTAACTAAACATAAATTCATTTAAATAACAAAGACCCCAGAAAAATATTCTTTTACCTAATTTACTTGAAAAGGATGCAAGATCTGGAGGTGAAAGCTGATACACACAGCAAAGGATATTGAAAAAACACCCACACACATTTGCATCATCCAGGTGTCTATAGTTCACCTGCATTGAAATACAAATTTAAATGAGAATACAAACTTTGAGATGGTACACAGTATGTTGATGGTGCTGTTTTATTTTGATATATAATTTACTACTGTAGGCAAGTTTTCATGGGATATACTATTGTTTTATATATATATCTAACCAAAAATAAGTCAAATGGTTGAAGTATCAAAAATAATATTCAAGATCACATTCAAAGCAGGAATTTGGTCTTTGAGTGGATTTACTAGAATAGGTAGATCTGGATATTTATGCTTTTAAAATGTAAATATACCAAAACCTGGTTTGAGAAAATCGGCCTCAGTTTTCAATATAGCTCTCAGGGGCGGATTTAGGGTGGGGCCCAGCCCCGGCCCCCCCTTTTGGAAGGTAAAAAAAAAGAAAAAGAAAGGAAAAGAAAAAAATGATAGCCCACAACGCCTCAAATATTATTTTCGGGCATCTAGAACACAAAAATTTCGCGGGGGCATGTATCCGGACCCCATAGGGCATTGTTGTCTCGATCGGCCCAAATTTCGGCCCCCCACTTTTGGACATCTCTGGATCCGCCCCTGGCTCTACTACAAAGACATCAGATTTTCTTAGATTTGCATTAAAGAAAGCATATCTATTTGTATTTGAACTTTATTGTCAAAAAGAGCATAATACATAGAATCATGGTGATTGAAGAGGACTTTATTTATACATAAATGCAATGAATACGTATAGAATTTTATATTCTAAAAATGTTCTATGAAAGGTTTTGCATCTGTTTACATACCATAACATGTGGAATACAAGAACTGTCTAGTAATTTGAGAAGGAATTGTATAAATTGATCTACATCCATTGTTTCTTCCTCAGCTAGCTGCAGGTTAGGAGCTCTAAAGAGACTTGTGTTCGAAGTAGGATCCTTCTGACATAGAATACACAACCTGCAAGTCATAAGTAACATATTAGATAGAAATCTTTTTTGTTTTCTAGATACCTAATCAATGTACAGACATTTATCTTCCTTGAGATCCAAAAACCGCCACTTAAATTTTAAATACGAAACAAAAATGAAAACAAAAATTATACGAAGAATTACCTACAAGAAACCAATTTATAACAGATTTTTGAAACATTTTAAAGTATTGTATAGTGCTACAAATATAAGGCATGTTGTGGCAAAATGGCTAAGTTGTAGCAAAAATTGAAATTCAAGTTATTGGTATTGTCAGATACCTGAGTATGTGATCTTTAAAATGAGGGGTCATTCATTGAAATTGGACATTTGAAGCCTAAGTTATTGGAAAATGAAAGTACAGCACTCTTAGAGTCAAGATAAACATGATTTTGAGTAATTGCCTTTCAAAGTTAATTGTGCATACACTGTTTAATAGAATTAACTATCAAAATAACATTAAATAAACGATTTGTTGACCACTTTCAGAACTAATACTTTGGGACATGATTAACAAGACATTAAACTGTTGATTTGTAGTGAAAAACAAATTTGGATTTTTTGGCAATTTTTTGAGCTCCCATATTTTAAAGCTCATTTACTTAATACTGGCCTGTGCGACAACTTAACCATTTCGCCACGACATGCCTCATATTTGATGGTAAACACTAAAAAAAAAAGACAATTTTAAATTGCAAAGAGCATTCAGTGTATGAAGCAGCAAGACTGAGTGTAAATAAAGTAAAACATTAAAAAGTTAACAATAAAGCAATTATGCGAGAGCAGCTTAGCTCAGTCGGCTAATCTGGTGGTAGCCACTGTGTGTGCGCTGAACCGTGGAGATCTCTAGGTCCCCGGTTCAATTCCCATTGCTGCCTCTCCTTGTGTTTCAGCTAGAGGGCTGAAATACAAGTTACATAGCGCACTGTCTTTCGGATGAGACGTTTAAGCCGGAAAAGAGTAGGGGATTGTCTCCTACTGCCCAATCACCACCAGAAGGACCCCACTGGAAATAAGTCTTCTTCTAGACTTTCGTGGGCTATCCTTGGTGTTTACACCAAATAAATCCAATCCAATCCTATTAAAACAACTGCAATCTAAATTGATCTTTAATGCAACATTTAAACAGTTCGTCATCTTTTATCTATATAGAATTATGGCAATCATGAACCCTTTTTTCAACTACAGAATCATTCAAACAATGATAGAATGGATTCACTCATGTGTGACCATCCTATGTTCTCTGCACAATGCAGATTTGGGAAACTAGAATCAAAGCGATGAGGAGAACTCTACGTTCTCAAAAGTGCAAATGACTTTTTGGCGATGTCATTATGTTCTATGTCCCACGAGATTTGTGCAATTAATAGCTTCCTAATTATCCTTTTCAAGACAGAATGATCCTATCATGAGCCAATTCCAAGTTGCCTTGTCCATACTATCAAAATTATGTGATATGTCCATATTGGGTGTAAGATGACATCATCAATATAGGCACATCACACAAATTTGTCACATAAAATTTGATAGTATGACTTATTTTAAAGGTCTGTTCACACTATTAAACTTCATGTAAAAAATAAATGTGATATGCCAATATCTGGATGTAATATGACATCATTGTGCCCATTTAAGTCCACATCAAACAAATTTAATCACGTAACATTTGATTTTTGACATAAGAATCAAAAAATGTAAATTTCAAATGAAGTTAAAAGAATTAAAAAAAGTTTTGATCTATACTTGAGGGCACTGTTCATGACTGCTAGTCCAACAGCAAGACACTTCTTATTCTCTTCATATCGTTTGTTTTGATTATCTTCTTTGGTCAGGGATGCAGTGGAAGACCTGCTTGTCTTTGTTCTGGCCAGGCTGCTCAGAGGCCTAAGGTCCTTCCATGTCTCCATTATGGCCTTTAGTGGCACCTCAAGTGCAGAGAAGTCTACTGGACTTTTCAGATGATCTTTTCTAGAGGATATCAGAGAAAAATAGATATGTTTAACACTATGCATTTCGATTCCAAATTTAAACACAACACATAACCCTCCATATATTATGCAGTGAGAATTTTTAAAAATCTAAAATATCAACTGCATAGGATATTTTTAGCCTTGTGAGGCAGCACATTCAAAGAAGGATTGACAAATGTCAAATTATGCCAATGTGCCTAAAAACCCCATTGAAACTACTAAATATTGATAGTCCAAGGATGTTGGTCTAGGTTCTTCAATTTAAATGGGATAATTTCCAAAAAAATAATATCTTTTTATCAACAACGTTAATATCATTTCATTAATCAAAGAAAATAATACAAAAAAATACACATTTTTTTATCATTTCTTTGTAAAATTTTCACCGTACCTGAGTAATTCTTGAAGAACTCCAGCAGCGCAGCAAACAATACTAATCTGCGAATGCCTTAAACAACTGGACAAAAGGCTACTCATTGCTCTCAGAAGGGAGCTGCTGTTAATGAGGCTAATATTTGTAGGCTGTCTAAAGATAAATGCAAAATTGATTTTAGATGTGAAGCTATGTTAGAATGGTTTAATATATTTATTAAGATACAGAAAGATATATTTTTAAAATTTGTTTATTCTATTGTTTGAATGTTAAAATTCCAGAATAAAAAAATGAAAGAAAAAATGAATGAATGAATAAAATTTTAAAAATTGTAGAACATGCAATTACCTTATGCTCACTGTACATACATAACATTATTTATCTTAATTCAATTTGAATCAATGCAATACAACAATGTAAGTTATGATTAGATAAAAAACAATTATTTTTTACCTTTCAAGCATTTTCTTCATTAAGTCTAATCTGAAATTGAAAGACAAATGTTTCACTTAAGCTCTGTCCAGATTTGAAAAAGAAGCATGTGACATGCCTAAATATGGTCATGATTACATCACACCATGACCATATATAGGCACATCATGACTATATATAGGCTATAATAGTTTTTTTGTCAAAGAAAATTTGATAATCTGGACAGTGCTGTATATAGTGTAATCAAACACTAAGGCTATCTTCACACATGGCTGCTAATGTTTAGCAGGATCCGAATCCTGCTAACTGTCAGCTGCTGTGCGCTCATACAAGACCATCCCTGATCCAGATACCAAGATAATAATGATCGAATCACTGGCCAATAGGAAACCAGAAACTGGAAACAAGCACATGTGATTGGTTGATGATAAAAACGAGCTGAACTTGCTAACCGATAGCGTTTGCTAATCGTTAGTGTATCCGGGTCCTGGTAACAGTTAGTGTTAACCAATTGGGCGTTGCTAACTGTTAGCGTCAACGGTTAGCTCCTGATCTGGATACTAGGGCTCTCGTGTGAGCCTGACCTATGGAAGGGGATTTCTAAATTCCTTTACAAAAAATATTACTTCATAGTATTTTTATATATACAGTATGCGTTATAAATATTTAATTCCCTACAAATATTTTAGAAAGTTTATATATAAATCAAATTTATTAATAATTGTATATGTCTATAAATATTACCCTTGGCACAAGATATCTTTATTTTTCAACTTGATGGCATGGTTGGTTGCTCTAACAACAGAATCGATACCATAAACAGCATGGCACTCTTGGAAGAATTCATGAGAATCAGTCAGAACCAGTAGACAGCAAAAGATAGAGCTGAGGATAGAAATAAATATTAATACAGGTCTCCCTTTAAAAATTAAAGGCCTCTCCAATTAAAGACCACCTATGTGGTTCCAAATTAACAAATGTTTTTTTATCTTATTTATTGTTAGAGACAAAGCTGCTAAAGACCAATAACACCAGTTTTAAACATATGTTCTTTAATTGGAGGACTAGACCTGCAGATAAAAAACAGCAAACATTAAACAAGAGATGAATATAATTTTGTTAACTATTATTTAATGACAGTCTTTATATAAAACATTATATCATCATCTCTGGAGGAATTTTACATTATTGCTCTAGGGCACTATTTTGTTCACTTATTTATCATCTATTCTTTTTTATACTGTAGGGACTTTCAGTACCACTATATAATGCATGCAACAACAATATTATAATAGCAACAATACATCTAACTGGTATGGAAGACATACTGTACCTCAAAAGGATGTCATTTGTTGTGGCAAGACTCTCAAAAAGAAACTCTGCTATGTCTGCTGACAGTAAAGATTCAATGAAAGTCCTCTGATTGAGTCTTTGTTCTACCATCACCAGATGGGTCAGGCACTGGACAACTGTAATCTGATGGATATCATTCTTGCTCAAAAGAACCTGAATGTTAACAAGAACCAGAAACTGATCTTTTTTTTTTTTTTTATTGTATTCTGTTGATCACATAATAGGCTTAAAATAAATTATTTTCATGTTTGCATGCCCTTCTGTTTTAAAATGATAAAAAGGGGCGGATGCCGTCACCTGTAATGGGGTAATAAATATTCACAAGACTTCTGGATGACATACATGTATGTTGTACCCGAAGCTGTTGAGAGTGTTTTCCTATTTTTTTTCTTTTCATATACAAGTATAGTAAAGTGTAAGAATTTCTTCCTAGGACAAAATATGCTAACATCTGCCAAACTTATGCCAGCACAACTGCAGAAAAAAGTTTTTTTTTTAAGATACTCATCAGATGGAATTAAAATAATCCCTAGAGGCCTAGAATGGCAATATCTTACATCAGACAACACCTTTAGATTATTTTTTGTATAGCATCTGGCAAAAATAAAGATAAATGCACTCACATTCTCACAACTCACAAGTTTTTCCACTCCTATTTTTTTAGTGAGTTAGGGGTGTGTGAGGAGGGCAAACAAACAATTTTTTTTTGGAGTTTTATCAATGTCAAAATATTGTGTATCCATTTGGTCAGCCATTTACTAATGTCACAAAATGTTCTTAAGATCTGGATGCACATTATGAATTTTAAAAAATAGTTGCATCCAATTGGTTACAAAGAAGGTGCAGTCACCAATTGCGATGATATACATACAAGCGTAATACTGCACCTTTTTAAAAGCAGATGATACAAGGCTATGGTTGTCTGCTATCACCTCATGGACAGACCTCTCACTTTCAACTACTTTCTTTAGAAGCCCTGCAAAACGAAAGCAGACAATGTTATCCACTATATGGGTGAGACAAGTGGCCTAGCAGTAAGATTTGGCGCCTCTAACTATAGTCTTACATTGCCATTGGTTTGAGTCTGTATCTACTGGAATTGAGCCACATAGCTTGTATTCCACTATTTGCATTCACACCTGGGCTGTGTATATATATTGCCTTGGTTTGGCTCTGTAATCATTAGTGGTCGTGGGACTAGTTTGGGCCCTACCTAAGCTGGTCGAATGCTCTCTCTTATACACATCT